TCAGTGAAACAGCATAGCACTGCATATTTCTTGCGCAATTTGCCAAAAGTTTGTTTTCAGATTTTTCGCGGAGTTTGCGGCAAATTTGTGTTCTAGGATGCACGCATAATTTTGTTCATCTAGGCCCTTCCCTGTGCGTTTGTGACTTTTGGCTTTTTGTTGAGGAGGTGGTTCTTTTTTTTTAATGCTGGCCAGCAGGCTATTTTTTTTAAAAAAAAGTGTCATGCACGTAGTACCTGTGAAGTTTGTACTAGTTCAGGGTTGAAGTAATTCAGGGCATATGAAATATATCGAGGTCCAGGAGCAGATTTTAACGCAAGACCTGAAACTTTCGACGGCACTTGCGGCCCCATCCAAGTGGCAGACGCTTGATAACATCGTCAACAAAACAAACCTGAAACTGGGTGGCTTAAACTACGCCGTGCATCTTGAAATGGGGTAAGTTTGAGACAAGCATTCCTCCTCACTTTATGAATACATGATTTCCCACGCTACGAATCCACCCGTGCACGTTTCCTTACTTTCAGTTGTGATGCATGGCTGATGATGGAAAATCGACTTGTGGTGGGCTTGGACATTGCGCATCCGCCTGTTGCTTTTATTCGTTCGAAAGAGCGAAGTGCGATCCCATCGGTAGTCGGAGTAAGTCACTAGCTCACATCCTTAAACAATTGATGTGGTGTATTTTTGTCTAATAGTTTTTGTTTAGTATTCGGCGAACATAAAACGACATCCTTCCGATTTCATTGGCGGCTACCGCTACGCAAAAGCCGAGATGGAAGAGGTATGTTGTTATGTGCGCCTGTTCTTTTTGCTTTAGAAGCGCATTTTTATGAGTTGACTGTGCTTTCACATGTAGAATATTCGTATTTGTCCGGCAGGTAGGGTGCTAATGATGAGGAATAAAAGTGGGACACATTGCCACAATAATGATGGCTAGGCGCATTGTTTTTTTTTTTTTATATGCGTGAGATAGTGATGGTTTTTAGATTTGCGATGACTCTGTGCAGCAGATTTTCGCAGATCTCATGCAGCACTTCAATACGAGCCGAGGCATACCACCGACGCATATTTTCGTGATTCGTGATGGTGTCTCGGAAGGACAGTACAAATATGTGCGTCGTTATACTATCGTTGTAGCTGGGCTCCCTTACATTTTGTTTTACCGGATAGATAAATCAGTCTGTTAATTTTTAAATGTACACTTCTAGTGGCTCCTTCTGCTTTCAGGTCGTGAATACTGAGGTGGCCCAAGTGAAAATGGCTTGCCAGAAGGTTGGCGGCCAGAATTACCGCCCGCACATCACTTACATTGTGCTCACCAAGATGCACAGCTTGCGCTTTTACAGAAAGGTTGGTATTCGTGTACTTTGAAATGGTTGGTGATTTTTATTGTACATATCCTTCGGAGAATCATTGCACTCTCTGTTAAGATTTTATTAGTTTTTATGCGTTTTTTTGCAGAACATTCAGCAGCAAGGCAAAGCGGCGGAGCAGAATATCAAGCCAGGGACGATTGTCGACAAGCACGTTGTCAACCCCGTCCTGAACGAGTTTTATTTGAACTCACATTCTGCTTTTCAGGTTTGAGCAACAGACTTCCGGGGAATTTAAGAATTATGGTAATGAAGAAAAACTAACGCTGTAGATGTAAAGATGCTTAAGCGAAGTGCACAGTCGCCAGTTTTTTTATGCGGCTTGATCTGTTTAGGGCACTACAAAGACGCCGAGATACACGCTGCTTTATGATACATCGAAGATGTCGGCGGATGAGATGCAGGGTGTCGTCCACGGGCTTGCATTCGGCTTCCAAATTGTGAACATGGCTGTCTCTCGCCCGGCGCCCGTTATGATTGCTAGTCGTATGGCTCAGCGTGGTCGCAGCAACTATATTGCGATGTAGTAAGTTTTATTTATTAATGGTGGATAACGGCAGTTTTTATGAAATTGACTCTCCGACAAAATCACTTTGAGCCATTTATCTCCCGTATAAGCACGCGTCTCCTTCTGTTAGATGGAATTAGACGGGCAAACCTTACGTATCAAATTAAGAAGTCGTATGAAGTCCCCTGCTCCGGCGTTGTTGTGTCGTCTTTGCTTTTGTTTGTCTCGAAGTGCACATTTGTCTCAATCTGCCTTGTCTTCATCTTACTTTGTTTGAAATGAAAAAGCTATTTTTGTCAGCATTCGACTTGACTTTCTTCCCATTTTGCATCATCTAACTGAGAATATGAATAACGCATATAGATGGGGCGCTGTTTTCTTACCCCTTAATGAATTGATTGTGACGTGTTGTTGTTTAAAATATGGTTTGGAGAACAGCTAAGTTTCGCATCTGGAGACGGTTTTCGTCTGAGATTTCCCAACATTGTTTGAAATATACGTACGATTCATTTTCAGCGGCGACGAATCGGAAAATTCCGACAATGGAGGTGGAGTAGAAAAAGACATCGCGAAGCTGAACAACCAGCTTGGCTATATGAGTAAAGAGCTGGAAGATGTCCGTTTTAATGCCTAAAGTAGACATTCCAATCTCATTTCCCTTCCTACCGTTACGTTATTTTGTGTCATTAACATGTTGAGTGTATAATTTGAATTGACCCTGTCATCTGAAAATTGTAAAAGCAGAGAATTCTCCGTCCATTTAAAAAGACTTTTTTGAAGTGGGGATTTCCAGGAAATTTTGTTTTAATTCAGTTTGTTTTAATCACATTACGCTGATAATTTCCACTTGTAATTTTTTGTCCGAGATCTCACAGTAGTTTCGGAGTTCGTCACTTCTGTTCAACTGGTTTTACCTTATTGTTTTTCTTGTCTCATCTTTTTCATCGTGATCGGCTTCCGCAGCCTCCTGTACACACAATGCATGCATGCATCATGATGAGTCCGCCCGTCGCATATACTACACTTTGGTGCCTTAGACATTGCTTTCTTTGCATAATTTCGTCTTTGGTGCTCCAGTGAGCTGGCGGGCGGGGATTGCAAACGCTGCACTTTTCCCCATAATGGGTTTGGCCCAGCTAAAAAACCCCTTGTTTCGTTGAAGTTCTTGTTTTGGTGTTTATGCGCATTTTAATAGTCAGCCGTTTTTTACGAATAAATTTTTTAAATAAATTTTCCACTAACAAGACGTTGTCCCAACAGTTTGGTTGTGGGTGCTAGATGTATCAGGGGAGAAGGAGGGGATGAAATACGTGGTGAAATTCGGAAAGAAGGGTGGACAGTGCGTTACGAAAGATCAAAGGGCGAGGTGAGCACTGTTTCCTCTTAATTGGGGAGCTTTGAAGGTCTAGGGCCCTGGGTTTCAGAAATGGTGGGGGCTGGGTTCACCGTGTCGAAGATTTTGTGAGTTTACGAGGATGTCAATCTTGAGCAATGAACCCCATTGGCGCTACTCATTTCTCTATCGCCGGGGATTGGCGCACCCCTCACCCTAGCCCGGAGGGCTGATGCACAACTCTCCAACCTGACAATGACGTGTTCGCCGGTGTGGTACAAATTTGTCAAAGGTAGCAGACCTTGATATGCGCAGTTAAAGTCAGGGGCGTTGGCGTAGCCGCTTTTTTTGCGGTGACACATTACTAACATCAGGCCACCATATCTGGTAGTCTCGATATTTGAGTTGGTGCCACTCGTTATCTTCCGCGTCTGGCACAAACAATGCAGTTGTCGACCACTCGGCGGTCTGTGCAGTGTCAGTTGATTACGAATTCCGAAAAACATCGACTAGAGAAATAAAGTGGGGCGAGGGCAGTACTTTGTCACAAAATGTATCTTCACTGCCGGTGTCGAGAAACGCCAGCACACAAGCCGGCATCATCTGTGATGTATCACTTTGGCCACTAAACGTTATCTACAAAAGCCTGTTTCTTACGAAGCAGGACTCTCGGCTTTCTGCTGATCGTACTTTCGGGATCCCAATTTTGAAAGGTTTTGAAAGGGGGCAATCTCACAGGTTGCCTTCTTGTTACTATTCGTATTATGGACTGTCTCACGGCTTCCTGGGTTTCAGTTTGAGCTTGAAGTCATCTCAAACATTCAGAACAGGATTTTTTTTGGCCATAGACGACATTGTGCGGGAGAAACTCGTACTTGTAACCACAGTACACTGGGAACGACTCTTCTAGGTTCCAATTTGTATTACTCGATTATAACATAGCATGGAGCTGCGTGGAATGCAAAATTCGCACCGAAGGGAAGGTCCTCTCGCCGTCATTAGGAAGTTCTGTTTTTATTCGTTTTTTGCAGCCATGCAGTGCAAATAAATAGCAACGCGCGCCAGACTAGCCGGTGCGATCAAGCGTTTTGTGCAATTCAGCCCATCGAACGATTGCCTATTAATGA